TCGATACATTTTCCCAAGGTTAATTTTAGCTGTCCCTGAGCCTTCCGCCGATCGGCTGGTTAAGCAGTAGCGGCATCGCCTTCTTTTCTGAAGGCATTCGCAGTACGTGTTCAAACCGTCGTAGCTGTAACTTTTAAATCTGAAGAAGCAGCGGCGGTGCCGTAGGCTCTCCGAAACTCTGAGCTCTGGACCGTGTCGAAAAACGTGAACCTGGCGATTCGTTTCATAAAGACCATTTCAGCTGCTTCTACACTGGATCGAAGCTTTTCTCTGATGTCCCACGACTCATTACCGTTGGTTAGCCTCAGGATAAAGATGGACTTGAACATAGACAGCATAGTCCTCAGATTCAGCACCGCTCCGTCGGTCGAGCTCCTCCTATTTTCCATCGTGTAATCGATTCTAAATATATTTAGTTCATCTATTAGATGAGTACGAACTTTATAGTTTACCGTAAGCTAGCGCAATGTAACTCAAATACAAGCCTGTGTACTGTTAAATTGTCTGATCCTCGTAAAGCCTACAACGCCATGCATAATCCTTAACAGCGGTCGTGGAGGCCATCGTTAATCTCAGGTTTTAAGTACTTTTGTACGAAAGAGTTCTGAAAAACTGATGCTTCTCTGCTTTGTAGTATCCTTGCACTAACATTCTCAATTACGTCAGACGTTCACGAGACCATAAAGAAGTACAACCTGTTTGCGCTACAGGTGTATAAGTCAGGACATTGGCCGAAGAACCGATTAGATTTATAAATTTAAATTATATTTGTTGTTAACAGCTAAAAGACAAGCACTGGCAGAGGAAACTTCAGAGACTGGACTTTAGGTCAGTCGATATTTGTTTCACGTAGCTATGACATGACCCCATGCTGTATGATGGATGACCCATGACACCAAATCATACGTTACTATAGTGGTTTGAATCCGTCATTCACTAGTTCTGGTTTGAAGGAACAATGTGGCCGTGATCCACACGTCAGTGAGAAGCGAACATCAGAATGTAATCATAACACCCACGGTCAGTAACTTGTTGATGCATACATTTGAAGCAAGGACTACAAAGTTTGACAAGCACAAAACAATTCTCAAAGTTTATTTAGCAAACGCACGCTAACGAAAACAACAGTAGCCAGATTCTCAGGTTCAAAACTTTTCGAAAGATTTCTTCATTCCAGGAGCTTTGGTAACTTTAAGCACGTTAAACTTTACAGTCTTGCTGAGCGGCCTGCATTCACCAACCGTTACTATGTCGCCTATTTTCACGTCCCTGAAAACGGAACATACAACTGATGTAGCACAAAAAGGAGCCAAAACATTGATTATTGTATATACTGAAATTCAAATTTGTCGTTTTAATATTATATGCTACTTGTTTTTGAACACTTTCTTTAGAATTTAATAGACTAAAAACTAACAATTTAATACAATTTGCACTGGCTTTGCTTTGGCTGATCACACTACTGTCAAAACTAAAAATTAACCGACTTTCGGTCCTTCGGAACTAGCTGCAAAAGTTAGTTTTTTCTATGAAACTGAACTGAATCAACGATCTTCAAGTGACTACCAGTTCATAGATAGATGATTAATGTCTGTCCGATTTTGCGCAGTACTACTGATTTTTATCATTTAAATTTTTAGGAAAAAGCAAATTGCATATACGGTTATAATCGAAAACTAAACTAGAAACTCATTTAAACAAATTTTAAAGAGACTGTAAGTCTTCTCTCAAAAGCGGACGAGAAATAGATTTGCTATGAGGAACATTCGCGAACCTACCTGAAGCATGGGCTGAGGTGAACTGCCATGTTTTTGTGCCGTTTCTCGAAGCGATTGTACTTTTTCACGTAATGCAGATAGTCTCTACGAATGATTATGGTGCGTTGCATCTTCATTTTAATCACGGTTCCGGTCAAAATTCGCCCCCTGATGCTGACGTTTCCTGTAAACGGACATTTCTTGTCGATGTACGTTCCTTCGATCGCCTAAATATGCAGTATAAAGTGTATGAAGAACTATCAAGAAGTCCAGTTTCATTAACACGTTTCAACGACAATCTGTCAGTTGTTAAAACATGCCAAAGCATCAGATTCCGTCTGTCAATTATGGATCGGCCGTTGCTACACTAGATGCCAACATTTGCTGCCAGTAAGTGATAGGTTGGCTATGACGAGCACAGCCGTCTGCAAACATACCATTACATCTACACCGGCATCAATCGATTTTGACAAGTGGACAATGACAAAACGGTATTCATCATCAGCCGATAAATGGGAAGAATTGGACAGACACGACCATATGCGAGAAACGGGTGCCTCTGATGGTATTGTCCATTGCTGCTGCTAATTTTGTAAGCAGAATGTCATCGGTACGCCACGACCGCATCGCACGCTGGACATAAGGTTTGCGTGAACTGGCGCTGCCAGTCCACAAACGACACATAACAGAGAACTCGATCCTGTAGGCAGATTCTTGGCAATTCGATAATGGATGTGACTGACATTTTCCTAGAATTCGGTGTCGCACATTGTCCACCGGCGTATTTCTGAATAAAACCCTCTACTGTAACAATGGTACATTACCATCATATGGGGAAAAATCTTCTAGGAAATGGACCATCACTGTAATGAGATACATGGCATTCTGCTACATTCGTGTTCAGTGTTTTCTTTGATTCTAACGTAACTCATCCTTTGTAATTTGGAAAGTCACAAACAATCTTATTTCATAAATTAAGATGTAGTTTTAAGCAAAATACCAATTTCGGGGTCTTGAATCCGAGGCCGATGTTTCTAACCCATCTCAATGGCTTCTTCGATTTCTTCTTTCCGAGGCCAACGATGTGTTTCCGGTTCAGGAACACACATGGCTGTTTTTGAAAGGCTCTTTCGGTCTAACGCGGAAACTGTTTTAAAATATTCACTTAAAAGTAAAATGCTTTACCTGTTCGCTTGCAGTTGCCATGATTACTGTTTGAAATCTAGATAAGTATCTGAAAACCGATGAAATTATTGTAATAAAAGTGCAAATATATTCAGGGCGGTATTTACAGCGCCAAAAAATTAATTCATGAAAAGATTCTACTCTAACGTCAAAGCACTTCCAGTATAGAAAGGTCAAAAGCTAAACAAAGGTAAAAACTGCAAAAATAATGTGTTAAAAATTTAAAATATCTCCAGACGCTGCCTTGGAAATGGAAACATTAAAATTCAAAGAAAAATTATACACTGAAATCTGCAAGTTCTGAACTACCCAGACTTCGATAAAATTCGGGAAAAGAATAAAAATTTTCTCGATTTCAGATCTTAATTCGAAAACAACTGCACCACTAATGAAGCACATCATTTACAAAAAATTGATGATTTCT